GGCCGGGCAGAGAAGGCGGCCCGAGGGGGCAGGGGGTGGCGGGGAGGCAGGTGAGGGGGTGACGGCAGAGCCAGACTTCTCATTCGAAATCCCTGTCCCGATCCCACAGGGAACCCGAGGTTTGAGAAGGAAGAGAAACGTGTCCCGATCCTGTCCTGATGGCGGTGACCCGTTCACTTGGAACCATCTACAGAAGGATCACCGAGTGGTTTAGCATCCGGTTCTGCCCAAAACTGGGCTTTTATGGAGGGAGAGGGAGGCAGATCAGCCCGACGTGGCACAAATTTCTGCTCTAACACAGAAAGTAAAACCAAACACTTCTTGTAAGTGCTTCCTGACACTGATCACTGAATGCCAGGGGCAGCAACTCGGGGATGTTAAAGCCCCGTGACCGGTTCCCAAAGGGCTCTGGTGCTTCCCTCCCTGCCCTCCCCCCGACCTGAGGGGTAGGAGGTCGGGTTTGAAACAAAACGCTGTTTTCCGTCAGAATCTGGGAATGACCGATCTGATTATTTTCCCACCTAATTAAATATATTGGCCTTTGTAACCATTCTGAGAATATTTACTTAAGCACTGTTCTTCTAATGATATCTAGGAAATGGAGTTACACAAACCTTCCTTGGTAGGTTAAACAGCTCACCAATCAGCGGGCATGAGCTCTAATTATAAATAAATACAGTGTAACAAACTCACTAGCACATTGTTACAAAATGTCCAAACTAGACCCAGAAGAAAACACCAGGGCATCACATTGATGGAACTGATCCACCACAAATACCTCTTAACAAATGACAACAAAACAAAACAAAAGCTAGAAAATTCCTTTATTAACTTCATAGAATCACAGAATCATAGAATCTTAGGGGCTGGAAGGGACCTCGAAAGATCATCTAGTCCAACCCCCCTGCCAGAGCAGGGTCACCCAGAGCACATCACACAGGAACACATCCAGGTGGGTTTTGAATGTCTCCAGAGAAGGAGACTCCACACCCTCCCTGGGCAGTCTGTTCCAGGGCTCTGTCACTCTCACAGTAAAAAAATTTTTTCGGATATTCACCTTGAACCTCCTATGCTCCAATTTACACCCATTACCCCTTGTGCTATCACTGAGAAAAGCCTAACTCCATCTCCCTGACACTCACCCCTTACATATTTGTAAACATTGATGAGGTCACCCCTCAGTCTCCTTTTCTCCAAGCTAAAGAGACCCAGCTCCCTCAGCCTTTCCTCATAAGGGAGATGTTCCACTCCCTTAATCATCTTCGTAGCTCTGTGCTGGACTCTTTCGAGCAGTTCCCTGTCCTTTTTGAACTGAGGGGCCCAGAACTGGACACAATACTCCAGATGTGGCCTCACCAATGCAGAATAGAGGGGGAGGAGAACCTCTCTTGACCTACTAACCACACCCTTTCTAATGCACCCCAGGATGCCATTGGCCTTCTTGGCCACAAGGGCACATTGCTGGCTCATGGTCATCCTCCTGTCTACCAGGACCCCCAGGTCTCTTTCACCTACACTACTCTCCAGCAGTTCAGCCCCCAACCTGTACTGGGACATGGTGTTGTTCTTCCCCAAATGCAGAACTCTGCACTTCCCCTTGTTGAATTTCATCATGTTTCTCCCTGCCCAACTCTCCAGCCTGTCTAAGTCTCTCTGAATGGCAGCACAGCCTTCTGGTGTGTCAGCCACTCCTCCCAGCTCAGTGTC